TATCACCTTTGCGATATGTTTAACTGCCGATTTATCCCAACAGGTCATCTTTTTTGGACAAAATCAAGAGCTGTTTTATTACATTTTAGATTAACATATTATCTGATGTTTAATACATCAGTTGCTGGAAATGGATTTAATGCATTTTGTAAAGTTCAAACATGCCGTTATGTCGCCCTGAACTACTTTCTTATTTGTTCCCTAATCGTAAGCTGACACACCTGCCTCTTTAAACATAGTCACGGTAATGCCATAGAGATGATTACTATGTTATATTAAAAACATTAAAGGAAAAGAAATAAGAGAAAATAAAAGAGGGAAAAGGGTAGATGTTAAGAATAGAGACAATGTGGATGAGAGCGTTTCAAACAGAAAACATCCTTCACTCTGACACACTCGTCTGATCTTTGTGTTTCCTGTCATCCGGGTCAAAAGAGAAGTGAGCACTTCATGGAAACTAACAAATACTTTCTGATGGCCATAGAAAGAGAGAAAGCGTAGAGTGCAACGAATGTCAATGCGGGGGATTTTTGAGTGTTTGAGATGAAAAGAAAACCCTCAAAGTTGAAAATGTAACCCATTATCCACCTGTCTCCATTAATTTCCTGTACATTCTGTTATGAAGTCCATAATAAGAAGGAGTCCGGACGAATCACATTTTTCATCAGTGTATAGTAGGCTCTCGTCTACTTCTGCAGGTCTGAGGTCTGATCAAAGCAAATTTGAAACTAATGGGATGGTGCAATGCAGGTGAAGGTTTTTTTGATGCATTTCCACTCTTTTTGAAGTCTGGTTGTTACTTTGTGGAGCTCCAGGTTGATATCGATGTTGGTGTTCTGCCTGCATTTTGGATCCTGTGTCGTTATTCTCGGGTCCCTTTCAGATTTATGGGCTCAGAACAGTCTCATAATACACACATGCACACAGAAGGATTCACACTTGTATTTCATGACCCGCAAAAGGATTCACACTTGTATTTCCGGATCCACACTTGTGTTTTTCAATGCACACACAAATGTGTTCCGTTTCATATACATGTAAATAAAATCCAAATATAGAAAAAAGTTTTACATATGTATTTTTGATCCTCACATATTTGTTTTCCTTTTAAAACCGCTGCACCTACAAACACAACCCGCTTTCTGTGCATGGATCACTGTGCATTCGTGTGTGGGTTTTTTGAGACTCCCCTGACGGTCACCCGATTCGTACTTGTAATTTTTTCTATCTATAGCCAATCAGATGTCTCTTCAATTCTAAGCCAATCACATGAGCGCGCCCCCACGAGGGTAGATTTCTTGCGTTCATGACGTAGCGCTTCATGTACGAATTTTGCGCTGTCCGGAGCTGACAGGTCCATGGAGCCTGCCTGCAGGCGCTAATCTCAGGACACCTCCACTCTCAGTACATTGCCACTTTCCGAACAGGAAATGCACGCAAATACAAGCCTTTATATTATTAAGGTACAGTGCCACTTTCCGAACCATTAATGAATGCTTGTGTACACAAAAACGGCAGGCAAAACCGTTTTAAATGTGTGTTTCCTGTATGGCGAATACAGCTGCTTTATTTATGTCTGTATGAAGTTGTTGTGAGTGTGGAGGGAGCAGCTACAGGTTAGCTTAGCCTAATTGATCAGTGCACCACGAAGCCAGTGCTAGACAGTGAACTGTCAACGGGGGGAGCCCCGCCGGTCATTATCGGCCGATATTCACTCTTAATAGTTTGATCGGTGGTCTCTATAAAGGCCGATCAGGAGAGCTGGATCTGATCGATATGGACATAAACGCGAGTGAAGTTTTAGCGAGCTGCATGAGAAACTGACGGACTGTCAGGAGAGAGGGAGGGAGAGAGGACAAAAGAGATGATCCTTACTCCCGTGTTATTAGCCATATCCGGTCATAGTCCGGTAATTACCTGCTAATGGAAACTGCTACACAATTCTTCTTCTTCTTATTATTATTGAAACATGACCGGTAAGTTTCAAATTTGTCCGGTAAAATAAATTATGTCCACGGAAACCCTGCTCCGGACAGCGCAAAATGCATATATGAAGTGTCATGAACGCAATAAATCATACCCTCGTGGGGACGCGCTCATGTGATTGGCTTAGAACGAAGGAGACATCTGATTGGCTATAGATAGAAAAAATTACAAGTACGAATCGGGTCACCGTCAGGGGAGTCTCAAAAAACCCACACACGAATGCACAGCGATACATGCACAGAAAGCGGTTTGTGTTTGCAGGTTCAGGGGATTTAAACGGAAAACAAATATGTGAGGATCAAAAATACATATGTAAAACTTTTTTCTGTATTTGGATTTTATTTACATGTATATGAAACGGAACGCATTTGTGTGTGCATTGAAAAACACAAGTGTGGATCCGGAAATACAAGTGTGAATCCTTTTGCGGATCATGAAATACAAGTGTGAATCCTTCTGTGTGCATGTGTGTATTATGAGACTGTTCTGAGCCCATATAGATTGAGTCCTTTCTCATTTTTTATTGTAATTAATTTATGCTCCCTGGGGGAACCTTTTCCACGGATTAATTTCAGATCCAAATTTCGGACCCATGAGGACATCAACCTTCGAATAAATGTATCCTTAAATAGCCCTCATATGTCTCGAAATATAGATGATAAACCCAGTGACTCCAAAACTCTTGACTGAGACTGATTTAGAAAAGTTGGTACAGATTTCCAGACAAACTTTTAGAAAAACAACAACTCAGATTGAATCTCTGTTATCCTTTAATGCAAGCATGTCCAGAAAGGGAGTGGCTAAATGGGAGTTAGTTTACCGGACTCTCACTAGATTGGTTTAATCCTATCAGGCTAAAGCTCTTTATAAAAGATAGCAAGCCCTTCGAGAACTAGCCTGATTCCCCTTTATATCTCTGCAGCATGTACCTTTGCCAAACAGCGGCCTGTCTGCACCCGTTTGACAGGACTGCTGTGATAAACTGGCCGAAAGAAAACTCAGTGGCTTTGAAACAAAATGAACACTTTAATACTGCATTGTGCTTGGAGGCCATACACAGAGCTGGGTTAAAAACAAATGAGATCAATTTTGTCTGTCATCCGTTAGCTGCTGTTCTGGCACGAGGGAAGAGTTTTTGTTTACGGGATGAATAAAAGAAACAAATAGCGTTCCTCGAGGTCCAACTAATCCTGGCTTTACATAAATTAAAAAGCCGGGGGGGAAATGTGTGGACAAGTGAAAAGAGCGCAAACATGCTCCGACTACCAAGTCTACAGACTGCGAGGAGACAAAAAGAGGGCGGTGTGCAGGAGTCAAGGACGAAGCAAGTCGGGTGACGTAGAAAAACAAAGTTCGTACATACAGTACAGATCCAGAATTTTGTCGAAAAATAGTCTTTGAATTAAGAATCAAGAAAGGACTCTCCCTCTCCAAACATGGAGACAGTGATAAAGTTCATCCCAGGATTTGGCTGAAGTGTTCATCTTTACTCGACGGAAGAGTCACTTTTCACTCCAGCGAGGACACGAGCTCATCCGTCTCTCCGTTCGCAAACCCTGTCGTCTTCTTCCTGACAGATACGCTCCCAGGCCTGACAAATTGAAAGCTTGCCCCTGAACTCACCTTAACTTTTGGTTTGATTTCATGTTAACATCCTGACATCTTCATGGTAAGACTTACAGTCACCATTTGTTTAATGAAGACTTTCTTAGATAAACTCTCTGAATGTTCTCATATAACTCCGTAACCTCAGAATTTAAATTCAGCAACAGAGAGCTGGGAGGAGACTTTGGGAGTTTGAGTTATGGATACAAACTTTTTCCATAAAAGGTATGCAAGTGTAATACAGAGAAAAGGCTGAAGAAAAGAAAGGAATCAAGATTTTAAAGAATAAGTGTGTATGCATCAGTATGCATATAGATTAGATATTAGATCCACACAGTTGCCTCTGGAGACATGTATTACAGGTGTGAAAAATGAAAGAGATATTTAAGCAAAGAGACAACAGAGAAAGCTTCAGAAATATGCCGGTAGGTGTGACAGCTTGGACTAACTTTAACACATTCCTGACACAACTACGACAGAGTAATAATAGTAAATAAATAATTTAATAAATACAAAATATATATATTCTTTAGGAGGAGTATGTCAAAACAGACACACTAGAGGAAAGGTAGGTCCTAGCAAATAATCCAGTAAAATAAATTGTTAAATAAATATTTGACCACTACAGGCAGCAAAGAACGCATAGCAGCCCAGTCAGTGAGCAACGGAACAATTCTATTATTTAACACGATTAGTATTCTGTCACCAAATCTCTGTTAAAATAAATAAGATTGCTTTTTGTCTGGTGAGTTGAAATGTTTATTGTTCCCATGTCTGAGTGGTTGATATGTTCAGGATACCTATGATAGCCAACTAAGCCTACTGTTGTCCTACAGTGAATTTGCCTTTATTTATTTGAGTCTTTCCTCTCTCTTATGCAACTCATCACACCAATATAATGGTGTAAGTACTGTTTATATAACTGCATGTCTGACGGAGGTTAGTTTGCTACATGGTGAATCGTACACGGTAGTTTGAGACAGAATAAAGGTCAAGACCAATGGTTCCTCAGGGGGGCAGGTTAGTGCGTTACACCGCTATTTCATCTCCCAGACAGTCAGGAGTTCCCTGACTGTTGAGAACATTGAGCAGCCTCAGCGTCTCCTCGTCCCTCGCCCAGCCAAAGATCTCCATCCCCTCCTCATCATCCTCCCCCTCGTCCTCATTGCTGTCACTGTCGTCCGTATTTGACTCGTACTCCGAGGCGATGCCCGACTCGCGAAACTTCGCGGCAAAGTCCAGGCAGCTCAGAGATTGGATGTCACGGGACAACGTGCCCTTAGACTCCTCTTGGACTTTGCTCTCCGGCCTGTCGGCTTTGAGCAGCGAGGGAGGCGAGGGGAGTTGAGGAGGCGGAGGCCCAGGGAGGAAACGGAAACAATCCAGTTTGAGAAGACACTTGTCCCTACCTAGGGGGCTTCCCAGAGTCCCGTTGGAAGAAGTGAAGGCGTTCCCGTCAGTGGAGCCCAGCCCGGGGAGGTTGAGCATGGACACATCAGGTTTGGGCGTCGTGGCGTCGCACATCACCTGAGGTACCATCGATCGGAAAGTGATCTCCAGCAGACTGTCCTGAGATCCCACTGGAGAGGAGGAGGGAAAAGAAAAAGAAAAGTGAAGAATGAGCAAAGGGAGGTAGAGACAAGGACTAGATGATGGATACAATATTTTATACTACTGCACCATGATTTAAATTCATCTGCTATTGCCCTCCCTGTTGGATCATGGCGGAAGAATAACATATCTGTAAGTTGTGGCCGATAGCAGCTCCTTAAAAAGTCTAACAAAATCAATCATTCAGTGACAAATAAATGCATTTTGTAAAAGGAAAGCAAGCATAGAAAAACATATTTCTAAGCATTTCATCATCACGCAGGCAGCTCACACGCTTTCTTCTTTATGAACACAGACCTGGAGCTCAAAAACTGACAGAAAGATACATTGAGAAATATTGTATCTAACTCTTAGTAAGCATGAAAGATGACTCTGAAATGTTTGTTGTTTGTTTCTTTGTGGAGGCTGACAGCGGCAGTCAGTTTGGATTCACAGCAGTTACCAGGTCCATAAATATCCATAGAAACTTCTCAAACCTTCTCCTGCTGTATTATGTGCCTCCTCTCTGGTGTGCGACTGAAATGTAAAGTCTGGGAACAGCTGGAGTAAAATCTGTGGCACTGTTTTGTCAGACAGACATGGAGCGTGAAAGACTACAGTCGGTAGGTTGAAAGAGCGAGTGAGAGAGAAAACTAATTAAAAGATACATTACAAAGTTAGTGGGTGATTCGAAACTGAAAGCAGCTTGGGGGGGGGGGGGTTGCGTTGTTGGGGGTGTGTTCTTTAGGGTACCGGTGAGAGAAGGAAATATGATCCAGGAAGTGAAGCTGGAGTAACAGATTCGAGTGTTTAATGGCTCATCGGACCCAATACCCACAGAATGGATTTTACCACATCTCGGAGCACAAAACATATATTTTTATGGTATTCCTTCAAAGGTTTTCTATTCAAGCAATACACTGGGCTTTAACCATCAGCAAGGGATCCCCACCGTTTCTCATCTTCAGCCAGAACAAGTTTCATGCTGTGAAATCGACCTTTTTTCTCTTGGTGGACATTGTGATTGAAGGAAAGGGAAAGGTGTAACCAGTGGTGTAAAGTAACTAAGTACATTTACTCAAGTACTGTACTTACGTATACTTTTGTGGTACTAGTACTTTACTTGAGTACATTTCATTTTATGCTACTTTGTACTTCTACTCCACTACAATTCAGAGGTAAATGGTGTACTTGTACTCAACTAAATGTATTTAATACCTTCAGTTACTTCACAGATCTGGATGAATGCTGTGAAATATAATCAAGTGTTAAATCAGACTTTAGTTCCACCTGGAGTAAATTCACAATCTACCCTGCAGTATACAAAGTCATTCAAACTAGCTGCACCTTTACCAGCTTTGAGAACACTTTAATGATCAATAATTATAATCAAACATTTTATTTATATTATTCTGAAATGGGCCAATATGCAGAATGAGTACTCTACTTTTGGTACTTAAAGTAAATGTTGATGCTAATACTTTTGATGCTAATACTTTTGTACTTTTCCTTGAGTAACACTTTTACTTGTAACCGAGTATTCCTACACTCTGGTACTTCTACCTTTACTCAAGTACAAGATCTGAGTACTTCTCCCACCTCTGGGTGTAACTAATAATATTAATAAAGACAATAAGACATGCTGGTGAGCTAGCATTTACAATATCACGCTACGGATGAATTGCAGCAATAACTGATGTTAACAGTTATATACTTTTTTTTAAATGAGCAAGGGTTTTATCTTGCATTTCATTACGAAGGTCTTGAGATTTCATCGTATATTCCATAGTGTTCATTACAAATGTCCAGCATGCAGAGGTGGCAGTGACTCATATTTTCCCCGCTGGATTTGTGAAATGTTGGCTGATAAGATAACAGATTGCTTCTTGCTAGGTGACAATTGGAGGGCAGGCTGAACTGCAGAGAAGATTGTCCCTTTCTGAATAGCCAATAAGAAAGGTTTATACATGTATGAAGCTGTGGGGAGAGACGGTGAAGACAGATTGGAACAGTGACCAGAACATGTGAGGAGCATAATAAACAGGAGAATCCAGTCTCATATACTGGTACTCAGTAGATTTAATGTTGCATTTTGCACGTATGTCTGAATCCATATAGTTGCTCTATCATGGTGAAGGTCATGGTTAGTATGGGTGTGTGTGTAGCTGGATGTTTGCTCTTGAAACATGCAAGGATTAAACCTGACAGTGGTTCAGTTTGTTGACATAGGCGGTGGTGTAAAATGAAACATTTCTATATTTTTTGTCCTGCCATTACCAATCCAGCCTTCAGTGTGTACGTGCGTGAGTTTTTTAAGTGATATACTTACTGGAGTTTGGTCCGGTCATCTTGGTCTCTATCTCCTGGATCTGTTTAACCAGCAGGGAGATGTGCTGCAGCAGGTCTTTGTTCTGCAGCAGCAGCTGGTGGACCCGGGCCTGGGCCTCCAGCCGAGCCGTGGCCTCCGCACTCAGCTGGTCCTTCAATAGGTGGACCTGGGCAGGAGGGGAGGAAGATAGGGTTAGGGTTAGAGAAGATGCAGTGCAGTGTATACAAACATGTTCCCCAGGCCAACAATTCCTCAAACACAAGCCACTACACTTGAAGTCGCAAAACTTTGTTGACTCTTTGAGCCGGGGAAATCAAGTGTGAGTGCTGTTTGCTTCAAATATTGAATAAAGGGTTAGGGTTAGGGGGGTTAGGGTTTAGGGTTTAACCCTAACCCAGGGGGCAACAGACTGTGATAGGCCACCAAGCTTTAAATACACTTTGTACAGTACAAAGCCATCATTTGGTGTCACAATTGATAGGTGTGTTGGATATCCTAATTGTAAGTTATTGTTTGAAGTCTGCTAATTTCCATCAGTTTTAAGGTACTTAATGATGTGTTGGCTCAATCAATTTGAGGGTTTGTTTCTTAAAGCAAATCGATTGTGATGAAATGTTAGATGATCATTTATTGTGCCAAATCTTTATCATCGGGGCAGTATTTTCCTTCCAGTATGTGAGATGTATCTGTTGCATTTCAGATATGGGAGATTATTAAGAGAAGTAAACAATTACACTATCATTAAATAAAGGTACACAATTTCCATCTCAAAAACCTTTTATTCTATTTCAATAAATATAGCCCTTCTTCAGACCTTCACAGATGAACTACACTGATCCAGAGATGAGAGGCTTCAGGATGTGGCTGAGCCAGCCCACCAAATAGCAGTGATTGATCAATAACACAGATTTCTTTACACTGTGGTAATTAATCAAAGCAATGCTGAAGAAAAACAGCAACACTTCAGATGTTTCTCCAGTTGTCAAGAGATCAATCAGTGTACATCTGTGGGGACTGTGAGAGGAAAAGCTCAGAGCGGAGCAGAGTGTGGGCTGTGATGGAAGTTTGATAATCACTATCTGGACACATGTTCCATGCACATCATTAAGCCGAAGCAGTGTAAAGTCTGTTGCTGAGCAGAGGAGTGAAAACATCTAAAAATATATCAAAAATGCCAAAGAATTGTGGATGACAGTATTTTTCTACTTTTCTTTGTATTATCACATTTCAAAATTCTTTAGATTTTGACTGAACCTTGTATGCGTAGGCTCTGGAAATATGTTGTGAGCAGTTTTTAAAAAAAGAAGCTATTTTTTACACAAAAAAGTTTACTCAATTGATTAAAAAAAGAATCATCTACTTCTCCATGTACACTTGCAAATACACCCACTCAGACGGGCTCCAAAGTATTGAATAAACCCTGCAAAGATTTTTTGATCTTTGTAATTCCGTGGCTTTATATCCTTCTATTACATTTTTATTACAGGACTAACAGAGCTCAAGTGACTGCTCTGATCCTCGTGTAACCTCAGTGCCACAGTGTGCTGTGGTCTGCAAGATTAAAGCAGAGACTCTATTTCAATTTAAGAGAGAGAGTCTTAGTCTTCTATAACACTCTGAGTCATTTATATACAGTAGAGAGAGGAAGGAGGGAAGTGAGATACACACTCAATTCACAAATGTCATAATACACACTCTATTGCAGCTTTTGTAACAGCAATGACTCCTCGTTTTACTTCAAAGTAGTCTCCAAATCAAATGTTAGTGGCCCCACCTCCCACCCATCTACTATCCTGAGCATATAATTGCTTTCAACCATTTCAAAGGAGGAATTCTCAAGGTTTCAAATCACAAGAATGGTTCAGAAAAAGCTCATAGTGTTGAATGAGCCCACTTACTAATGACTTTCTGACAGGAGGGCCTCTCAATAGTATGATGAAGCGTTACCCTGGAGTTTGATCATGGGCCAACAGGACTTCAAATGTCAGCTGTGTAATGGGCAAATAGGTACTGGGGTGTCGAACATGCTTTTATACAACGACACGTGTTTCCTCGAATGGCTTCTTGTCAAAAAAACATTTCCACTCTTTTGTGAAGAAATAAAAGGCTTAATCAATACTGGAGTTAGTCTGAACAGGTGCCCAAAGAAAGTCCAATAGGCAGCATCAGCAGGGCCTCGTCTGAAGGTAAGAGTCATTGAAACTTGTGATAGCTCCCTGGTTTCTCATTGCAACCTGATGTGGTCACCGTGGTAGCATATAGGCACGTGGCTTTTGATGTCAATGGTGACACAAATCAAAGGAAAAAGTAGAAAATAGTTTTGATGCACTGCGGAAAAAGCTCCACATAGTCCTTTAGTATTTCAGTCTGAAAATCAATGCTAGATGAGGTTGACTCTAGATGTTTATTGTCAATGTTTGTATAAAGTTGAAGTCATTAACTAGACATTGTTGGTCCAATCAGTACTGTAAATAACAATGAATTATATCTTCCTCCATTCGGACTTAAACTGGTTAATAGTAGATTAACTCTAAAAAATACCCCTCTTATTAACATTGGAGTAATTTTTTGGTTTACTGACCCCTTGATTAAATGTTTTAATTGAAAGATCTAATCCTTTTGGCTGTAAATTATCATAAACTATTTCCATCATCAGTTTCTTGATGGTGAATAAAAGGTAAAATATTAAAATCTCTGCTATTTCCAGCAACTGACTAACAAAAAATGATGTTGTACAGTAATGTATTCATATTAACAGGCTTATTGTTTAATCAACTAATAATTTCAACAGTCGAGAAGTCTCTCTAAAATGTTTAATTGGAATATTTAAAAGACAAGGACCTGAATTTCAAGCACATGTCAATATGGGGCTGGACAACATATTAATATCGAATTGATAGTGTGTTATATTTAGGAGGTAATAATAATATGACATGTGCAGTCTTTCCTTGGTTTATTTGACTAGAATTATAATTTTTTTCTAAAATAACCATATTGTTTTAGCTGTTATAACTAATGATTATTTATCAAAAATCTGATTCTTTAAATATATCTTGTAAAAGCACCAATAGTCAATCCCACTAAGAATCCACTATATTCTCACAATATCAACATCAATATATTTTCTTTAAAATATTGTGATATTTGATTTTCTACGTATCTCCCAGCCCTACACCAATATCAGTAGTATTGAACTGAATACAAACACATCATTATTCAAGGGAGAATAATTGATTCCTTTTATTTACACAAACTATTGATTCACAATTTACTCTTTTAGTTTGGCTCCTTTTATGTGTTTTTTCTCAAGTCATCTCCACAGTCCCCTTTCTCCTCTCCTGTTTTTAGAAATAAACTTTAGATAAATATGTTTTCATCATTTTTCTCCAGTCCATCCTCACGTTAACAAGGATCCAATGAGGCGGAGAAACACAAGATAAAGTCCCAGCCTCCGTCCCAAGGCCTTCATATCTCCTCCTCTGTAACAACTTTTGAGTAAGAGAGTAATCTACTTTTCATTATATTTCCTTGCACTTATCAATACATAGAGGTGATCCCAGATTGTGTCGGGGCCAGGCTGACTCTGCAGAGCTCATTTGTAAAGACTGACACCTCGATGATGACTCTGGCGGGGTCATTTGTGGCTGACAGGACCTCGTCTTGAGCTATGGAAGGTGCACAGCTTGACATTGACATAATGCTGCCCTGTTGACACCTCTAATAGCACATCAGCCACTCCTGCATGGTCTGCACAGTGAGGGCAAGTGTCACATGTTTCCTGATGCTGAACGTCTGAGTGAGCTGCACTGCCAGGTCAGGGGACCAAAGAACCAAGGCCAACACTAGTGTGCGAAATAAGAAATAAAATACATATATTTTATAAGTGAGTGGCTTTGTCTTGATATCAGTTTCTGTAAAGAAAAGTGGCTGGACCTATGGATCAAATACAAAATAAATAATGAAAAGTTGATGAGATAAGAGTTGGTAAGTATCACATGATTAAAGTCTGATCTCCAAATGCTGATTCCTTTTGGACACAAGTATGTCTGTCGGAGGCCCTTGACCTGGAATGATTCAAGTTCAACACTGAGCGACAAATCAAATGACAAAATGTGCTTGTCCGTGCCCTGTAAAACGACATATAAAAGTATTTTCTCATCTGATGCCCATATCGGAAGACACATGCCTCTGCCTCCTAAAAAACAAATGTTTTATGATGTGTGAGGATGTAGCCCTTTGATGCTTTACAACTTCATTTACCACATTATCTAACTCATTGTCTATGGAGGTGTACATAAGTGCTGCATCAGATTGGTATCAACACCAACACAACTGAATTCCTCATCTAAAGATAACAGTGTACAAAAAGGAAGAATGAACACACTGCTTGACAATCCACTAGAAACAGCAAGGTTATTATTCCTTTTAAAACTTGAAGAGAGACGTTCTGAAACCTTTTACTAAAAGTAGAATCCAAGACAAAGAGCCAATTAAAAAGGCGCTCCACTTGTGCTGCGGTGGTCCCCTGGTAGTAAACCTGCTGCTAGCCAATATTTTCTGCTCTCTTATCGGAGCGCCGTGAAATTGAAGGAGCTCCAAGCGAACGAAATGGCTCCTTAATGCTCTAATTAGGCGGCAGCATCTCTCTTCCTTTTTATTGCCTTCTTTTGTTCAAAACTGTTCCCAGAACAGAGCGGCGCCTGAGGACAAATTTCATCTTCCCAACTCATGCTTTCACAAGTTTCCTTACGATTACCTTCCAGTCAGTTCTTTACAATGCAAAAAGCATGCAAAAGATGTCTTCAGTTGCCTCCCTCTTCTCCCAAATTGGTAAAGCACAACTGATTCACAATCAGTGAGAACAAAAACTGTTACTTAGGTAAAACTTGAAAAATATTGGCATCATTTCTCAAGCACGCCTTAGGAATGAATAATGTTAAAAATAAATCTGCACATAACCACATATAAAACTAAATATATTAAAATGTGTAAGAGTTGCATGAACTTATATACTAACTTTACTTTATTGCAGTGGTGGAATGTAACTTAGCACATTCACTCAAGTACTGTATAAAGTACTACAGTAAAATAATTGAGACAGGTTTTACTTTGCTTGAGTATTATCACATTATGCTACTTTATACCGCTACATTTGTAGTCACATGT